ATTAGAATAGAAGATAGTGAAGAGTGGTATTGAAATATATTTAGTTTTCTTTTTTTTAATGGAATTTAAAAAAAAAATTTTTAATATACATAAATAAAAATTTAAAATTTTTTTTTAAAAAAAAAATGCATTGCATAAAATGCGCATGAAATTTTGGAATTTCATGCAATTTCCCATCTCTAGTTAGGTCTAATGGAGAATAGTTAAATAATTATAATCATTAGTTATTTTTCCGGTTAAATATATAAATTACCATGAAAGTGAAAATAGTCAAAGTTGAAGTAGGGATGCAAAAATTTATTGCAGTCTTATGTGTACCGATAAAACATTAAAGAAAATCGGATATAAAACTATTAGAAAAATAAACCCCAAAGAAAAAGATAGCAAACTCATCAAAAAATCTATTACAATCCCAACTGAAGTGCTCGTAGCTAAACATAAATTTACATTACCTGATTATATCTTGCTAGGTCAAAGATGGTTCTGTGGTTTTAAACATGTTGATAATGATTCCCAAAGCTATTTACCAAAAATAATGACAATGATAGTTGAAAAAAATGGATGTTATTATTTATTATTATGTGTGAGAATTAATGATTGCATAAATGCAAAAATGGAAAAATGAGAACGCACAAAGCCTGTCTTCTAATGTTTAGTGAAATCTGGGTGATGTTGTTGATCCAATTTCAGATGGGGTGCACTTTCAAATTTGGAAACAAGAAAACGAGAATATCAAAAAATAGTTTCCACTAATAATGATGCACAACAATCAACATTCAACAATTGGAATTACAAGTCCAACTAATTTTTTGTCATTAAATGGTCGACAACCTTTAGCTCTTGAAAATTTTTTTCCTCCATTACAATCAATTGTAGGGATCCATTCAAGTTCTGCAACAACAAAGTGTTCATCCAGTTCAAAAAGTAGCTTCTACTAACAATGACGAACAACAACAATGGCAAAAATATTTATCCAATTCAAAGGACAACTTTTTTACTAATAATGACAAACAACAACAACAACAACAACAACAACAACAACAACAACAACAACAACAAAGCATTTATCCAGTTCAAATGACAACTTCTTTTATTAATTTCAAAATATTCCAATTCGTCTTCATCAAAACTTTCATCAAATTCACTTGAACCAATTACTTCTTGGAACAGATTTAGGTTTCTTTCACGAGTTGAAATTTTAATAATAATTTATATTAATTATGCATAAATTTAAAAAACGCGTAAATTTTATTATGTAGATCAGTACCAAAGATAGAGTTTATGGAACAAGTTGAATTATTATTATTATTTTATTATTATTATTTTATTATTATTATTATTATTATTATTATTATTATTATTATTATTATTATTATTATCGAGCGTCGTCGCTCTTTAATTTCGGATTTTTTCTAATAAAAAGGTAAGATTTTTGATTGTTTATTTAAAATTATGAAAAATTCCCAATCATTATTAGCTAAAAGCTTTTGGCAAATTCTACGTTTCTCAAGAAAAGATAAATTGTTTTTGTCCTTTTTTTTGCCAATTGAAATCTTATTATCATCTGTATTTATACGCTTAATTTAAATAGTTAGTTAATGTTAACAAGCGAAAAATTTGAATTTACTGCCTGTGTATTTTAATGACATGGATTTAAAGAGCGAGATTTTTTATATGATGATATATAATAGAAGAGAGTTATGACTTTATCAATTTTATTATGATTATGAAATCATCGAATAGAATTTTAATATAACTGGAACTGGTTTTTGAAAAAATTATGAATTTAGGCGATTATGAATTTATCGAATGTGAATTTGACAGACTAATAACAGATAAACTGGAGACTTGCCTATAAAGGAAAAATGGGATTTCATTTTTGGAAAGACCTTCACGTTTCATCAAAAATAAAAATAAAAATAAAAATAATTTTTTATAGCTTTATAGTATTAATAATAATTTTATCATTATGGAAAACTCTGAGGAATTAACAATAAATAATATCAAAAGATTAAAAGCTGCACGAATTTTCACTGAAAATTCACGACCTATTACCTCTATAGATTTTGATAGTGAAGGCAAAATATGTGTAACTGCTTCTGAAGACGATTCTATTAATGTTTATGATTGTCCAAGAGGAAGGTTTGTATTTGAAAAATTTTAGCCAAAAAACTTTTTACTACTTTTTGTTTTTATGTAAGAGTCATGGAAACATCATTGATTATTTTTATTTTATCAAAGTATTAGGAAAAAATTCATTGATCTTATTATTTTTTATAACTTTTAATAATAATAAAAAAAAAGACACAAGAAATTGTTGTTAAGTAAAAAATATGGAGTTCATCTTACACGGTTCACACATCTTTCTTCAAATATTTTATATGCGTCTACTAAAGGAAATGGTAAAATATTTTCGTTAGAATAACATTTATAATAATAATTATTATTATTAATTAATATTAGTCATGTTTTTAGATACGATAAGATATTTATCATTGCATGATAATAAATTTATACATTATTTTCAAGGTCATCAAAAAAAGTAATTAAAAAAAATAATATATGTCTCTTTCTTTTATCATATTGAAATTATATTTATCTTTACTGTACTGTTATTGAATGTGGAGAAATTATTAGAGTTGCTTCATTGGAAATGTCACCAAAAGATGACATGTTTATATCTGGTGCTAAAGATGATGTACGTCTTTGGGATTTAAGGACAAGGATGTGTGTGGTAAACATATAAAATAATTAATAATTATAATCGTTTTCTTTGTATCTAAGAAAGTTATAAATTAAATAAATAATTTTTCAAAATAAAAAATAGGGACATCTTGAATTATCATCTGGTGGCACACCATTTGTTTCGTACGATCCAGCTGGTCTTGTTTTTGCTGTAGGATTACAATCTTTAGAAAATTCAGTACGGCTTTATGATGTGCGAAAATTTGAAGAGGTATTATCAAAGATTTTTTTTAATATTAAAATTTTATAATCATTAAAAATCATATTTAATATATTATTTATTTATTTAAGGGGCCTTTTGGATTATTTAAGCTACCTGACAATTTTTCTGCACCTAGTACTTACCCAAACTTACCAGGACCTCCTGAATGGACTGGACTAAAGTTTAGTAATAATGGACTAAAAATTTTAATTAATACATCAGGAGATGTTCATTATGTTATAGATGCTTTTGATGGAAAATTACTTAGAAGATTAGTGGGTCATGTTGGCCATAATGGCTTGTCTGTTATATCAACTGGAGAGGAGTCTTGTTTTACACCTGATTGTCATTACGTTTTCTCTGGTAAATAAATGTTTATGATAAATAAATAAATGTGTCTGTAAATATATTTTGTTTACTATACACACTCATATGGAATATTTGATTTAGGATCTCAAGATGGGAAAATTCATGTCTGGGATATTGAAGCATCTGTTAAACAATCAGATAAGATTTTAGGTGGTTTAGATATAAAACCTATACATGTCATTGACCATCATGTTCGAGCAACTCAAGTTGTAAGATTTAATCCAAACAATTTAATGTTAGCAAGTGGTTGTAGGGATTTGGTAATTCATATTTATTATCATTATTATATGTTCCTTGGATTATTTTGCAGTTATGAATTGATCATATATTAGAAAAAGTTTTTATATCTTTTTTTTTGATTATATGATTCAGTGTAGCATAAAGTCTACAGCCGTTGTTACTTTTTTATATTAATATTAATTGTATTTTTTTTTTATAGATTTTTTGGCTACCTGCAGAAAATCTTTGGGAAGGAGATGACAACGTTAATTCACATAATCGTTCTATTGATAAAATGGAAATTATTGAATAAATGGCCTTTTTTCCTATTCGATGTTATATATAATATCAATTTTTGGAAGGGTAATGAAATAGAGAACAGTTTTTATTTTATTTTTTAATGATAATAAGTTGAAGCTATTGAAAAATAAATCTATTACTACTGCGTTTATTCTGAGGAAAATAAATTGTACTGGGGGAGGGGATATTCCTTGTTATTTCCTTTCAAAAACTATAATCTATCTTGCAGCAAAAATAATCTATAATGTTTTAATAATAATTTTACCAATTGGACTCTTTTTTACTCACAATTTTGATTTGTTAACGATTCACAATAACAACAACATCTCGTATGGTATGTATCTGTCTAAAATGATGATATATTACTCTGTTTTTATTTTTTTAATGATAATATATCGAAGCTATTGAAAATAAATCTATTACTATTTGTTTAATATGGGAAAATAGATTGTACTGGGGGTGTAATTGCTATATTGAACTTGGATAAATTTAAGTTTATAAAATTTTTTAACATTCGTTACGTTGGAGATTTTTGACAATCAATCATAGTAATAAACAAAATTGTTAGAGTTATATATTGTGTTTATCTGTTAAGATAACATTATATAAAGATATTTCAGCTCTTGCTTTTGTTCTAAAAGTGAATTTATTTTTGGGCAGTACTACCAGAAATGCTAACACGCCGTACATCTCCCGATAAAAAATTAATTTATAATAATAATTTATCAATCCTCAATTTATTTTTACATTGCATCAAAAGAAGGCGTTGCCTAAACCTTTCAAATAAGTTCGCACACCACCATAGCCAACTTGTAAATTGTAAATAAAATCAACAGTGAGCATTTGTGTCATTATTGCCAAAGACGTTCACAACAGGCCATCCACCATACATTGTGCTTATTTACCCAACTGGTAACTTTCGCAAGCTGTAGCCACGAAGTGCTCACAGTTCCCCATTTTTAATCCTAGTGAGCACTCAGTGAGAAATACTTTACTTATAGCAATTCCCCGCATTCTCTTTTAAAAACGTCTCTTATTTCCTTGCCTTTCTTTAACTTTGGTTTACTACTGTTTATGATAATAACAGATTTGATTTTTCTAATGATTGACCATTTGTTAAAATTTACACTTAAACCCTTCTAACAAAACGTAAACAAAAACTTAAAACTAATCCTTTGCTTCTTCACTAAGAAAATAACCTTCCCTGTAAAAATTTACTCTGTGATTAGTTTCCATTATTAAAACTTAGTATTTTTTCCATTTATATTAATAAATATACATTTCCGTGTTTTTTTTCCATGATAATGACAATAAATGTATTGATATATAATATTCATGGAATCTATAGTTCCGTTTTTCATAAAAAATGGGGATTTCACTGACATGCATTAATTAATGTTATAAATTTCTGGTCTGATAACCATAAACTATCCCTCCATAGGTTGGACGTCACGTTGCGTAGATTTATTAACCGTTAACAGCTATTTTTGGTTAGGATTGAATGCGAATTAATAACTGACTGACAAACGAGCAAATAATAAATAATTAATAAAACAATTACAATTTTAGATATTTATCCGAGAATGCTAAATCTTCCAACTATAAGAAAACTATCGGAATTTAATCTGGTTCTCTCGATCAATGATATAAAGTTTATTGTTTAGCATGCTGAGAGATTCAACACTTCTACAAATTGCACTAGCATTAATTACTTCAAATACATCAAGATCCAGAAGGCTGTGAATTTTGAGCCCACTGCACATATGCTAACATGGGCTGTGATCATTATATTGGCGTGAAAAAAAGGATTGCACCTCTCCAAAGAATTCTCGCTCTTCCGGAATGATTGGTGACTTTTAACTATAAGCATTTCTATCTACAAGAGCCTTACGTAAAGAAAATTAATGTTACTAACATGATAAAATGGCAAGTTTTGAAAGAATATGTATTAGTGATGTACATTCAGCAACACAAAAATTTGTATGTGCCCTTGCAATTTGACAGCTTCGAGAAACAATCGCCAGTCCATGTTCTGCTTGAAGTTTTCGATATTTCCGAACAGAATTTGTAATTGACTTGAGAAAATTTTTTAAAAATTGAAAGTATAAATAAATAGAAATCTTACTGCAAGCTGGTTTGCATGTTTCCTTTCCAAAATATATAGAAAAAACTAAAAAAACTAATTTGATTGTCACATAACAATCCTTTCTGATCGTATATCACCCAGATCTAAAAAAATAATAGTGTAATTGTTATTACAGGAATATATCATAATTAATAATAAATAAAGTATGGTCGCGTAACAATTCTTTCTGGTTTCGTTTAACCATTAACCTTTGGAGAAAGAAAATCATGTAAATTCCTTTTAATTTAATCATTACATTTCCAAAAATATATATATGCATATAAAATATTAACTAATAATAATATAAAAATAGATGCAAAAGTAAATAATGAAAAAAAACATATTACCATTACTGTCTTTACAATATAGAATGTGTTCAGGTAATCTAAATTTTAATATACTTGGGTTTATAAAACTGTTTTTTTGTGAATCTCTCTAAAACTAATTAACCAATACTACAAAGCTTGGAAAGCAAGTTTTGTAGAATATACTTGATAAATGATTTTATCTATAATAGGCGGGTTTGATTATGATGCTTATTTGAAAATGCCATACAAGTATTTAAAATTCAAAAAAAACGCAATAGTTCTTTACCTATTGCCATATATTTTTGTATCTCGTCAAGTAGTTGATCGAAGAAAGCCCGAGTTCTATTGCACATCAGTAATGTTATATTGATTTTAAATCACAATTCGTTGATGCATTTTAATAATAATATTAAATGTCACTTTATTATTATTGTTGCTTGCTCATATTATATAATTATTTTAATCGTTATTATTTATGTAGGAATAAAATGTAAAAGGAAAATATTTATTTATTATATTTATTTTTAAAATAAATGATTTGACATATCTAGGTGAACAAAACTGTATAAATATTCATAACAATATATTTGCAATTGGACACGTCAAACAAAATTTTACATATATGAATATAAAGGCAAAATTTGACTTTGAGAGTCAGATTATTTTCGGTTTTATTAACAACCTGCTTTAAAAATTTTCTTAAAGCAGATACATAAAGAAGTTATATCTCAAATTTGGTGATGGTTGCTACACAGCAAGGGCATCAAACGAGGGTGTGAAGACATTCGATTATAAAATTTTTACCGTTAGTTAATCTTAATTCAAATATTAACAATTTCAAATACTTTCAAATTAATACTAATACTTTTACTATTGGATATCGTAATTATAATATATATATATATATATACTTTATTTTTTAAAAAATACAAAAACTAAATATTACATTTTTACTAATGACTTACTATCATTTAACATGATTCGTTCAAGTCTTTTCCCATCTTTTTTGTAATTTTTATTTAAACCAGCTATAAGTTTATGTGGTAATTGCACTTTGTAAATCAATCAACCTTCTCCATGAATAAAATGATGAATTCCACCTAGTACTAATATCTCGAATCACTGTATGAATATCTGGATAACTCAATTCTTTTTGCATATTTTCAAGATTTTCTTTTTGTCTAGGAATAGTGAAGAAGTCAATTAATCTTTTTTGCATCTTAAAACAAATGCTTGAATGTTTATATACAACTAATTGTAATGTGTGAGCAAAATACAAAATCCATCATTGGTAATGGACTCTTCTGACGAAAAATAAATTTGTTTCTTCTTTATCATTAATTAAAATAATGCCGTTATTTACTGATACCAAAGACATATTACGGATATTCGAATATATAAAAATTATTTGACACCAATTTTGAATATTGATATGCTAATACTAATAATAACGCATTGAATAATGGCTGTGCAATATTATTCTGTGGCGCAGTAAATCTTGAATTGTAATTTTCAAGCAATGAATGCTAAGCCTTCAACAATTAAAAAACACATTACAAATCATGTAAAGATGAAAATTTGATGTTTGTTAGAATTATTAGAGAAATCTAGAACCCTTGATTTTTTTTTTTTTTTTTGATTTCTTTTACTTTTCCCCTCTCTCTTTTTTTAAATTATCATTTTTTTTTTCAATAGGTAAATTTGTTTAAATTTTTGAATTTTTAAAAATTTAGATTTTTTTTTTTTGACTTTTAATTATGGCTCAGCGGTGTTGCTACTGGTAAGGATTTTCAGATTCCTTTTTAATTTTTTCGCTCTCAACTTATTGTAATCCTTTACTTCATCAGTTAACAACAACAACAACATTATTATTACAGCATTAGCTTACGTGTTGGAACAATACTTATTGCGATAATTTTGTTGGCAAGTTTCTTACTTTTTGAATTCAAATTAACTGGTTGATAAATCTATTAACAGTGATTAAAAATAAATAAAAATGTCGTCTTTATTATTGTTAGGTTCAAAGTGCTATAAGTGCATATAACGAATTTAAAAATTTCGATGGTAAATAAAAAATCGTTAAATAAATTCGAACTTTTCTCGATAAATTCCCTTAACGTGGTTTCTCTCTTTTTTTTTTTTTTTTTTTTGCTTTAAAGACACATCATTTTCCAATGAAACTATTGGTATCGTCGTAGGCATTTGGAACGTATTCAAGGGTGTTGTGGCCGTTGGTGGTCTTTACGGTGGTATTACTGTAACTAATCACAATTTTATTTTAAATTCTTTTAAAAAATTAATTTTCGAATAAATAAACGTGATTTGTTTGATTGATTAGGGTAAACAACGATTTGTTAGAATATTTGGTTGGGTTCTTGGGTTGACTATTGTGATCTATTTGGGATTGGTAATACTTTCTTCTGTCATTCACTTCCAAAATCAAAGCAGTATGGTTGATGCGTGTGTTCATAAGGCTCAAGTTAATAATGCAAGTGGTTTGAAATGGGATCCAAAAGAAAATTGGTCAAAACCTTTCAAGAAAAGACAAGATCCTAGTACCAACACTACCACCACCACTACCACGAATGAATCTGATACTCTATTAAGAGAAAAATGTACTCAAGCTATCAAATTATATCTTGTGTTTCTTTTGTCTGTCGATATCTTTGTCGTGCTACTATGGGTATTTATTACATTATATTATATTCTATACATACATACATACATACATGTAATGTCATTAACATAATATCAACATGTTATTTGATAGTTCTATTTTGTGTCTATCGTGTCAAGTTATAGCTCTGAATTAAGAAGACAACTTAAACATAATCGGCTGAAAGATGAAGATGATTTTGGTGAGCGTGGTGGAACTTTGGATAGATTATCAATGTCTTCTACCTCCGATAAACACCCTGCTAGAGGCATTTTACATGACAATGTTTAATAATAATAATTCATCTTTTTTTTTGCTTATTCTTTTTACAAATATTTATGAAGGCATCTGTACTATTTGTACTATTTGTACTATTTGTACTATTTATTTATTTTGTAAATTTATTTTTAAACTCTGAGCCCCGTTAAAATAAATCATAAAGCCAAATAAATAAATATATGCAATTAGTTAATCATTGTATTATTAATTGATGTATAAAGAGATTTTAACGTTAACGTTTGGATGGAAAGTCTGTGTTCAGTTTAGGCACAAAAATTATTTGACTGGTTAATTTAGTCACGTGGAATTTTTTAACTGGTAAATTCAATCGTCGTTCATTACTTACAAAATAATCACGCGTTGACATTTTTATAGTCCAAGATATCAAACATTTAGATTAGGCAATTATTGTAATAACCATGCTCACACATGAGTATATACACTACAATTATTCAAATTAGTATATTTAGTGTAATCACAATATATCTAATCGCAAAAAATGTTTGTATATGGTTTCCCATAAAGTAACAAAGCCTTTGTAAGGTGACAATCGGTTATTTCGTAAACCAGAGAAAGTAATTTGTATGAGTTAATACCATTAGATGAAGATTTAGTAATCAAAAGATACTGATTTCGTGCTTGATATATCTTCGTAAACACATCTAAAAGCAATACAGCACACTTTCGGGAAAGCATATACAATCGCTTCGGTGTATATATGGATATTTTTCATAGAATCTATGAAATGTTGACGAAAAGTATTATCTTTTCGATGTTGCAAAATAAAACGTGCCTCGTTGTGCCATGAAAAACTTAGCCGTACGTCATCAAATAATGATATCAATCATTGGATGATTTGTCTCTATCCAATAAAAGACATCAGAAAAAAAATAAAGGTGCACACTTATAATTTCTTCGATCAAACCGAAGAAAAGATCACTCCAGCAACGCATACAAGATTCCTCATAAGCCAACCAGTTAAGTAAAAAAATTATAGATTTTCTTTACCTTTTCGTTATGAATCTCTTGATTATTTCCTGATAAATAAAGATTAAAAAAGTTTACATATAAATTTTTTATAAATTAAAATATTAAAAAAAATTACCTTTGAATTATCATTTACTTCATGTAAAGCAGTATCTAGATGTTTTTTTATTCGTCTCTTCATTTTTTTAATATTCTTTTTCACATTGACCTTGTAAAATTATTTCTGAGAAAAGTGAAGCGTGGTCACCTTGAACAGAATCGGTATCTTCATTATTTTCATGACTTTTACCAAGACCTCTACCAACTGCTATAACTTCATGACTTTCGCGACTTCCATGACTCCCACGATTTCCTTGATTTTGTTTTATTATACAGTAAATAATATATTAAAGGAGAATTTTAGTTTGAAATGAATAGAAAAAAAGTTTTAAAAAAGGTTCTAAAAAAAATTTAAAGTATATTATTAAACTTTAAACTTACTATAATACTATAATTTGCGTTGTAAAACTAATTTCGTTTAACAACGTGATGTTAATCAATATTTAAAGTTGTACAACTCGATGTAAATTTGTACGTTTAGAGTTTCTATCCGTAAATCCTTATTCGTTCTATTTATCCTATTCGTTCTATTGTTCTATTAATTATTCGTTCTATTCGTTTTATTCGTTTTATTCGTTTTGTTCATTTATTTGAATTATTCATTTCATTCAACTAAACTTTCAATTTAATTCGAATATTCATAACGAATGAAACAAATAATTCGAATAGAAATCCTAAGGACGTTCTATTTATTTATTTTTTCAATTCATATATAAAATTTATCGTCTCCGCAAACTTTTAAACTTTTATTGTTTCAGGTTCTAAAATACAACGCCATTGAGTAATTAAGTCTGTACCTCCAGAAAAAACTCGTTCACTGGTTGTTATTAGATTAGAAATTAATAATTTTAATTCTGAATAAGCAGAGTGCAAAAATTAGAATACCAGGAACTGCCAAGTAATTTTTAACCTAAAGCTCTGAAGCTTTAATTTAAATCATTTTGATCCCTGAAATTCTTGTAGTACTAATATTGACTTTGTCTGATTTTGTTGCAGCATACCTCATATATTAAATAATCAACTCAATTTTCTCATTGGATAGCAAATCATACCATCAATCAATCAGCTTTAAAAATGTCATTACCATATATCCTCTCATCTCAAAAAGAAACTTTCTCAAAGTAATTTAAAACTCAATGGTAGATCCTGAGCTGGAATCTTTATATATTTGACCAAACTTTAGTTGGTCTCTCAATTTAATTTGTTAAATCATACAATTATCACGTGCCCAACCTGCATGATGGTCGGTGATCTTACCAAATTTATTTATTATCTTTTAGATAAAAAATTTTTTATAATCTACAATAATATTGGCAAAGATGATAATGAGAATGATATTAACAACAATGAACTCAATCAGACCTCAAGAACTTCCGATATCAAAGTTTATTATTAAGAGGAACACAAAAACTTATACAACAGCAGTAAACCAAGAAACTTTAGATAAAATTGAAACTTTGATTAAAAACACTCGATCTATTACACCATTACACAAAATTCCAAAGCATAATTCATTAAACAATTTGATTTGCAAAATTGCTAATCGCGAAGAAGCACAGTTATTGCCAAGTTTGATTTCACAATGGCGCCGATGTTTATTACCAATCACTTTCCAAACTACAAAATTATTATTTAATCGTTTATGTGACGAGAAAATTGGCGGGGAAGATGTGATGTTTAAAATGTTGGCTGATAGAAAAAAATATGGATTATTGCCTGATGTGGAGGGATTCAGACTATTGATGCTAAGATATTCTAATAAGATTTCGGGAGATGACTTTTGGAAGGAAAGAAATTATTTTATTGATGAAAAAATAAAATTATTGTTTACAGATTTAAATGATAATCATATTCAAGAAATTATTGACAACAATAAAGATGATGAAATTCAAAATAAAGAAGATCCAAATAAAACACAGAAAAAAAAAGATGCTAAAAAGGGAATAGAAGAAGTAAAAGAAGAAGCAGTTGTAGTAGAAAAAAATGAACAACCTAAAACAGAATCAGAAATTTATCTGGATAAATTGTTCAAAACATTTGGACTAATGACATATTATGATTTATCACAATATGATCCATATTTATTTTTGATTATATTATCAGCTTCGATGAAATTAAATACCATTGAAAGTATAAAAAGAATTGATATAACATCTAAAGAATTTCTTGAAGTATTTCTGAATTCTGAGAAAAAAATCGATTATTCTACAAAAAATGATATATCAGTATATTCATTTACATTACTGCAGAATATATTGGAATTAGAAGAAATTCATAAACAAAAAAAAGTGTTGCCAACACAATTACATGACATAGGTGATGTTGAAAAGAAAGCAGAAGTTTTTCTAAAAACATTAGAAGAAAATCCAGAATCATTAATCACATCAAAAACCTCATCATCATCATCATCATCATCACCATCACCATCAAATGAAGTTGAAGCAACAGTTGATACAACAACCTTAGAAGAACAAATTATAAAATTAAATACGAAATTATCTTCGAAATCAGAAAAACAACTTCATTATATTGAGATACTTGAAAAATTTATCGAAAATAGGGGAAAATTTTTTGTAGCAGAAAAAGAAAATCAGCAGAATTTCAATAAGCAAAAACATGTAATATGTTCAAATACACTAAATTTAATGACAAATTATTATAATAAATTATCTAAATTAGAAAAAAGGGACAATATTGAAAATTATAAAAAAATATTACAATTAAATTATCAATATTTATGTGATGGATTTAAAAATCTAAAACTTGTTTGGGAACTTGAATATAATCACAATCACATCAGTAGCAATAGTTCAAAAGATAAAAAACATTGTTGGAAATGTGGTTCACAAATTGATTACAAATCTTTACATTGTGAAAGAAAAGATTGTGGTGTAATACAAAAAGCATTGCCTGCCGATATTAATTATTTTGAAATGTTGAATATTGTTGATAAATCGTAAGTTTATTCTTTTGATTTTTAAAAATATATATATATATATATATATAATAACGATGGTAATAATGATATTGATAAAAGCTTTTCTAAAAAAAAATATTATATAGAAAGCCAATAATATTTGATATTGATGAAAGCAAATTAAAACGTAATTTTTTATTATTGCAACAACAAGTACATCCTGATAGTTATGGAAATAAAGATAAAGTGAGTTAATAATTAATAAATAATCAGTTTATTTCTAATATTGAAGGTATGGATTGATAGCAATTAAATATTATATAGCAAGAATATATAAATGCACAACAACTTTCTTCTTCGATTAACAAAGCTTATCAAGTATTGAAGGAACCTCTTTTAAGAGCTAAATATATAGTAAATATTCTTAATTTATATTGTTGAAATAACTATAAAACTTTAAAATTAAAAAATAATAATAATTCAAAACCATCATCATTATTATTATTCTAAAAAGCTTCATTTGAATAACATTGATATATCAGAATCAGAATCTGTACAAGATCCACAATTGTTGATGGAAACTTGGGAGTCAAGAGAAAAATTGGAGGAAGCCGAAAATGAAGATGAAGTGAAATCGATCAAATTAGAATGTGATGGTAAATATAATAATAATATGAGTGTCATCATCATTTGAGAAAATCAATTTTTTTTTGGTGCCACGCAGATTTTTAAAATCTGTCGTGTAACAAAAAAATTACACCCATATTAATTTACAAATATTATTTAAACAACAATTTAATTAATTAATTAATTATTTATTTATTTATTTGTTTACTTGATAGAAAACATCAATCAGATAATAAAAGATTTATCGGATGCTTTTAATGCAAAAGATTTCGTTAGAGCTAAAGAATTAACTATAAAGTTGGAATATTGGAATATCACTCAAAAAGCAACAATTAATTGGTCGCCAGGAAAAAAATCCAAATTCCATCATTAAAAATAAATCAATGATAAATAGTTATTTAATTTTGTTTTGATAGGAAGAATTTGTTGTGTTGGTGTTTTTGATGGTGTTGGCTTTCTCTTTTGTTTCTAATCTTCTAATTCTTCTTTCTTTGTTCCTCAATTCTTTTCTATAAATCTTTGAAAAATGATCATTATTACCATCCAATAACATTGTTTCTTGGTCATATCTTTTTATAATATTCTTTTCATACGAATGTTTGGATTCTGGAAAAACCTTTAATCTACTGAGCCGAATATCTCTCAATCTATTTTTTGGTAACATTCCTGATACTGCTTTTCTAATAATCTGTATAAATAAATAAAATAAATCAGAGAAGTTTTATCTCGTTTGATGTTTATTCTATTTTTACCTCTTCAGGTGTTTTTCTTAACAAGTCTTTATAAGGTATTTCTTTCAATCCACCTGGATATCCTGTATGATGTCGATAGATCTTTTGATCTGATTTCTTACCAGTCACTGTAACGTGCTTTGCATTTATTACAACCACATAGTCACCACAATCAGCTTTTAAAATGAATATTATTTAATTAATGTAAAATTGATATTAAACTACACATGATTCGTATGATAAATTATCACTTACATGCTGGATCATAAATAGGTTTATGTTTACCCATTAAAGTCACAGCAATAGAACTTGCCATTCGTCCCAATATTCTTTGCCTAGCATCTACCAAATGCCATATTCTCGCATAAGCTAAAGCTGTCTATATATTGTACATATTATTAATTATTATCATTTGTTAAATAAATAAGATAATAAAAATAATAAATTTTATTATTTACGTTGCCAACAGCTTGAGACATATTAATATCAATATAGAAAAAATGTAGATCGCTATCATATAAAATAAAAAAAGATAGTGTTACGAGCTTGCTTGAGCGCCGTTTGTTATATATATATCTTGATATTTGTTAGGTAAGAATGAAAATGAAGATGGTCGGTCATACTTTTAAAAGTCATTGAGTTGGTAGGCTTTTTGAATACGTGAATTTCTTGTGATCTTATAATTAATATATATTAAAAAAATATATACCGTCAATGAAAACAACCAAAATATTTCAAAAAAATATTTACCACCGACTAAAAGATTTTTAGCTGATCCTGGAAACTACAATCGATAATAAAAATGGAACGAACGAACAAATTAATTAGTTGATTTTCTTTATAATTCACTAAAAATAATAATACGTACTTTATCAAATTGTAGGCAGCGAGCATAAACCAGTTACTCAAAAAGAGATCGATGCTAAAAGACTTGCGGTTTTGTATCTAATCTGCAAAAATAATTTGAAAGTATATACCGAGGCCTAAAAACATACAACTCGTCAGTAGTTTATGAAAACATAACTGGTTACCATTAATTCACTGTGTTAGTATTCAAATCATGCAAATGCAATCTTTAAATCAGAAAAATAACGTCACAATGATACACTCAAAACGGATAGTTCTTGTGATTGGGACCACGGCAAACAAACAGATCTCGCCCGGTTCCTGATATTTCGAAAAGTAGAAGATCGTGAATGACAATTATAGAAAATTCTTATGACGTTATTAAAACTACAGATAAATGGGAACTTAAATATGAAATGTTCGTTACAGACGTTTTCCGATTTGAATATAAAGCTTTTAAGGCACAAACAATTTTTGAATTGATTTCGTCTAAATATGTTCGTTTCCATACATTTAAAAATAAAAAGGGCTTCTAAGACAAATCTTGTTAGTTTTGAGTGCAAAAGAATGGTGAAACCTAAAGAAAAACACTTTCTATTTCGAATTCGCATAGCAACCCTAAAGAATCATCGATTGAATAATAGAATTCAAAGATTGTAAAATAAAACGAATAAAAACAGGTATTATGCCCAATTTATTGTTTATTCTATTTATTTATTATTATTATTAGCATTATTATTACTGTTGTTACTAGTATTATTAAATTAGTAGTATTAGAGAATTTATTATATCCATAAATAAATAAGTTATTCTAATATAATATTAAAAAGAATTATGATTGATTGAATGATATGATTGAATGATTGTATGGGTGTGTGTGTGTGGGTTGGTGGTGAATGAATGAATGAATATTAAAAATTTACAACTTCTTTGTTTCTCTTTTGATTTATATATTTATTTTTTTAACTATCTCTATAACTTTTATTTATAATTGACTTTATAGTTAATTTTTTATTATTATTTGACTTGAATAAACCCAGCAGATAATGATAAATTGTTTTTCCAGTCCATGAATCTTTCAGATGTAATACTATAAGCCATGTAAAGAATCCCAATGAATAAAAATAAATTAAATAAGTGTATCTTACTCCATAAAACAATGAGAATATTATGATGAAAGTTAGCAATGAATTTGTTATAAACCTAGATTTTCTATAATACATGTATATATATATATCGAAGGGAATAGGAAAGAAAATTCAACGGATTATTATGAATGAATATTAAGAATTCTATTTATTAAAAATCAATAAATCAATTAACTTAATTACCTTTCGACAATTCTAGGCAACATATTATTTACATTAGTGATAATCTCAACATAAAATACTATAGGTGCAATTGCTAAAACATTGTTGTCCCATGAAAATGGTTCAAACCAACTAACTGAAATATTTCTTATCCATACCATTAGGATAGGTATATTGAAAGGCAGTAACATAAATAGAATCATTAGGATTGAATGTAAATAATGATAATAATTATAAATTTCTTGATCATTTATGGATTTTTGCTAATCGTAAAAATAATAATAATAATTAATAAATAAATATTAATTAATGAATAATATTTTTTTTTATCCTCCAAAAAAAAACTTACTTGTAAATGAGCCATGACCAAAGACCGTATACATGACATAAGATGAACGAAAAAAGCCACTAAAAATGCAAATTGATATGGCACAAATGTTGCTACTAATAGAAATAATATTGTTGCGGTGATAACTCTTCTTCGCAATTGCGATGTGTTAGATCCAGTTGGTCTATTTAATATACATATATACATATGATAGATTGATTAGTATTTCAAATAATAATAATAATTATCATCATCATTGATCCTTTGATCACCTGCTAAATAATTGTCTATCAAGATTTAATAATCCTAGATTATTAATAAAAATGATTATTCCCGCTACATATTTAATAAATAAATTTAACAATATCCAACATAAAGTTGTTATTCCGGTACTCAATATCAAAAATAAAGCCGGCAAAAACCAAAAACAAAGATTTTGGTTTCCAAGTAAAATATCGTCAATTTCAAACAGTGGTGACGATAGTAGCCTTTCATTTATGTACGAATCAATTGGCAATAAATCTGATAGTGAATGATAGGTTGTAGTAATTGATTGATAGGTTGATAATAGGGAAACAAATAAAATTAATTTGAAAAGTGATTGACGAACAAAAAGTTCCAAACCATGTCCAAAACTTATAAATGTTTCTAAAATAATGACGATGATGATATAAAAGTAATATATAACAACACTGTTAATAATAAGCCTTTTCCCAAAAAAAAAAAAATAAAAAATAAAGATAATTAATTATATACTAACCACTATGATTATACTCTTTTAATTGATGATAAAAGGTTATAATAACTATTATGAAGGGAAAAGCAGCCAAAACTGTCTGAAATCGCATCACTATTTTACCCAAACTGCCATAAAAATCAAACTCTATATCAATTGATAATGGTGAAGGACACGTTGGATCAATCCAAAATTGTAATTCTAATCCTTTCTGATTCATTATGAAACTATTATTACTACTGCTACCATTATTGTTGTTGTTAAATCCCGCTCCAAATGGTGAACGACCATGAATATTTAATTCAATATTGTTTACATTAACGAAAAATTTCGATTCATACATTGATGATATTGATTGACGTAAAAATGGTGCAAAATGTTGCTGTCCTTTTTTTTTCAAAGATAATTTAATTAATTAAATGATGATGATAATAATAATATCTCGTATATAAATAATAATAATTTTTACCATCACATCCTGAACGTTGAATTGAAATTTTATAGGTCAATAAACTACTATCTATCACAGGAATTTTTAAATTAGATACTAGTGCGTTGTGTTCAGGAAATGCATCAATATGAATTCCGTCCATCAATACCTCTAACAAAATAAATAAATGATGTATATTATTTAGTTAGTTAATAGTATTATAATAATAATAATAATAATAATAATAATAATAATAATAATAATAATAATAATACCTTTAATTGAACTATTTATTTCCATGATTGTTGTACTTTCATCGTAAAATTCACCAATAAAAAATCCTCTATTCATTAAATTTAATTCATCAAACATAACAACAATGTATTGATAATCACCCAATTCTTTTACTTTTAATTTCACAAAATTAAATGTTTTATCAGAAAATGTGTTTTTGCTTTCAAATGTCGATTCTGGTAATAAAACAATATCATCAGATGAGATATAAAAACACGATAATTTAGGCGCTATAGGTAATAATAAATCGTTTGAATAGAAATCGGTGTCGGTCACTCGCTCAGGTACTTCGGTTGGCATAACATCACATAAAAGTAGTTTGATTCCTGAATATTTTGAAAGTGATTGATCAGTTAAAAACGTGAAGGTGTTTAAAGTAGAATGCGGAGCTGATGGTGGAATTGGCATTAAATAGATTTGAGATTTTGAGCTTGTGTTGTTTAAAACAAGTCTTTGCCCCATATCTAAAAATTGATACGACCCTTTTCCCAAATCCAATATATCAAAAAATTCTATTTTTGTGCGTTTGCATGTGTATGCAAATTTAATTATTTGAACGAAAAAAAGTTTATCATCATTGTTATTATTTTGAAAAATTAAAATAAAATAAAAATAATTATTATTAATAAAAGTTTTGAATGTTTTGGCATGTAAAATTTACCCCTTGGAGATTTATCAATGTCAATAGAATCCTCTAATCCTGTCAATAAATTTTTTCTAAATACCTTCATTCTTTGCGATGTTGGTATTGTTTGGGTTGAACGTCTGATATCAACAATGTTTAGCAAAGTATTGGCAACAACTTTTACTAATTGTTCACACCATAAAATACATTGATGATCCATTGAAGTCCAAACTTTAGGTATGGAGGTTGTGAAAACAGTGAAACCATTTGAATCAGGAACAAGTGAATTTATATTTGTTGAGTCACTACAAACTATAGTATCTAAATTTCCACCAGCTATTGATATTAAAGTAACATCCATCAAAGAATTTGATGAGGATTCGGTATCTTTTGAATAACTATAATTTGAATTTGAATTATAATTATAATTATAGCCTTTCCTCCAAAATTCATTAATGTCATTATAGTTTTTACTTATTTTCCAATCAAATGAAGCAGGTGGTAAGGTGTGAGGTGTAGACATTGTTAAAATAGTATTTATTGAGCCAGGTTGAAAATTTGGTGTCTGGAATAAAGTTCTTGCAACAACACCTCCCATCGAATGACCAATTAATATTACAGCTGTTGGATCAGGATATGGTTGAGATGATGAACTTGTCTGTTGACTTTTCCTAATTGATGGGTATAACGATAAAATATATCTAATTGCGTCGTTAAGATATTCTGCTTGTTCACATAAAGAATGCCCATGAAGCGCTGAATACTCTTCATTAAAATCAACTATATATGCGTGTGCATGAATGAATGTAGAAATGATTTATTTATTTATTTATTTATTTATTTAAACGTTAATTTAATTGATTGATTAATTAGTTTTTACCTGTAAAAAAATCAATTGGTTTTATGCCGTTACCAAATGATCTAGATTGTTTAGATATAACTTCATAATATAGTTTTGAAGTTTCTGCCGCTATTGAACGTACTTGTTTATAACTGCCAGCATTACCAGGAATAAAAAGTGCAGGAATTCCTAAAGGCTTTTTTTTAAGAATTAGGAATAAAAAATTAATGATAATTCAGAGAATTTGAGAATTTAGAATAAAATTTTGCAATACTTGATTACTAGTGTCATAAGGTTGGTCTCTATATAAATAGAGGCTATATTTTCCGGCAAATCGCGTTTGTTCACTGTCGAATCCATTTTGTTTTATATAATAAGGATGCATATATGATAAATTGCATCCTTTAGGGTCTTTTTGATAATTTAGAAATGAGTCAAACATTAAAGCTACTGATAATAATGTTGCTATAAATAATATTATTACAGGATAAGAAAGATATATTGAAGTTGATGAATTAATATGTAATTTTTTTGTAGGTGTTGGTGGTGGTGATGACGATGGTGACGATGACGATGATGGTAATTTTGAATCTTGTAATATAGATTTGGCTAGTTTTTCTGATTTTGAAAAGTTTGATTTTGTTGGAGTTTTCCTTTTTCTTTGTTGTTGTTGTTTCTGCAAATTATTGTGTTGTTGAATTGTTGGATTATCAACACCGTTGATGAGATTACTTGAGGCATTTATTTTATTCTGTGATGAAATGTCATTATTTAATATTACATTATTGTTATTTTTATTATTATTATTATTATTATTACTACTACCGTTGTTATTATTATTATTATTACTGCTACTATTGTTATTATTATTGTGATGAGGATGAGATGATCTTACTTTAAGTGTTTCACTCTCTTTAAATTCACAGACATCCATTGTTTTTATTATTTTTATTAATTAAAAAAATAATTTCTAATGCTACTAATAAAACTAGACTACACATTTAAATTAAATTTTTTTAATTTAAATAAATACAAAATGCAAAAAAAAAAATTTTTTTCAATGAAAATTGTGTATATGTTGTAATATATATATATATATGAAATTAAAATTCAATCAAATATGGGGGTGAGGACGATACTACTTTTAATTGGTTAATCATTTTTATGGACGTGAATTTCACATAACTATCTTGTAAATCTTTTTATTTTATTTTTATCATTAAATGGTTTTCCTGCTGTAGTAATTATTATCTTTTCGACCTCCTTTCTTTTGTTTTTGTTTTTTCGCGTAATGAAATATCTATAAAAAGATATTTTCATTAAAAAAAAATTTCTAGAAAACTTTTAAATATTTAAAATGAAAAAATAATTACATATGGACAGAATACTCCATCAACGAAACAATGCTCTAAATCAGGGTCAACGGACCAACATGTCCTTGGAGAATTACCATTTTCTACCCGAATAAACATTTTGCTTTTTGATAAATTGTGACGAATTGAATTCTATTTATTGTAAATTAATCATCAATTCATATAGTAATATATATGTGTGTTTGTGTGTGAGTGAAAAAAAAAAATCTTTACCTTCCATGAACCTTGGTTTGTTGAATAATAAGGATAAGTACTTGATATCCATTTAAAAATATCATTAACAATTAGTTTTTTTTCGGGTGACTGCAAAATTGCTTGTCCAATTAATGAGGAATAAGAATATGGCGGCTTTTCTCTATTATTTATTAATTTTCTATTAGTTTCTAATAATACTCTATTGCTTTCTAATATATCATGTTTGTTTATCCCTAGATAATTAGCTATCCCAACATTAGATTCTTTTTCATTATTAGAATCAATTTCCATATTGTAGTCTTCTCGATTTTCATTACCAATGTCCATTTTTTCTTCGTTGCCTAACTTGTCATCAATATCAATTACATTACTATTCTTTAATCTAATAAGCATTTCCAAAGCATCGTCTTCATCATTGCGATGTTTATTATTATTATCGTCAACAACATTACCATCTTTCAATCTAATAAGCATTTCTGCTGCATCATATTCCTTATCGTGTAATTTATTATCACCATCATCATCATAGTTATCATCACCATCATAATTGTCGCTACATTTCAATTTAATAAGCATTTCTAATGCATCATTTTCCAGCTCATCAATCTTTCTATTCTCATTTGAAAAGCCATTGGTTGTGTTTTGTGGTAAATGAATTGAATTATCCTATAATTAAATAACCAATCAACAATTTAATTCAAATACAAATTTTGAATAATTTTATAAATATATGTGTGTGTGTATATATATATATATATATATACTTGTAATACTTACAAATCCAGTATGTAAGATTGCGTTATAAAAAAATGACCTCTGATGATCGTTAATGTTGTTGTTGTTAAAAGGTAGATTGGATTGTGATGAGAGACACAAACTATTATTACGTTGTGCACTGATTTGCAGTGATGATAATAATAATGGCGGCAGTGGTAGTGAAGATGATGATTCTTCAAATAGAGAGACTGACAGGTTACTGTTCAATTTTTTTAAATGATATATATCAGTGATGGCATTATGATACGATATGATTAGAGAAGACGGTGGTTCTTCTTGATAAAAGTAGTTTTGCAAAATTATATCTTTAGTTTCTTTTGCATTAATATCATAACCATTGTCATTGTTCTTTAAAATATTTTCCATGCTAGGCAACAAGTAATCAGATAGTTAGTTCTTTAAAATTTTTGTAATTTTTGTTATGAACTGGAGAACTTTTAAATCGTGATCCGTGAAACAAGTAGAGAAAACTAATAGTCAATTTTGGTACAGAATTTTGCAGATCATCCCCAAAGCCTCAACTTTAGTCTTCCTTTATATGGATTTAGAAACAACAATATACTTGTAATACGCGTACAAAATCTCAAGGATTTAATTTGTCGAATTTTTTTAAAAACTTTCTTATAAACTATCTTTACTTCTATATGACACCAAGCTGGATTCCTGCTTAAATTTGTTATATAAATTCGAAATTTAAATTTTAATATGGTTGGCTCGGTCTAAAGACCTCCTATTTCTGTGCCACGCACGCGCTCAAATTTCAAAAATTGCTATTTTGTGATTCATCCAAAAATGAAAATAAAATTTTCAAAAAAAATAAAAAAAAGTCTACGCGTAATTTTGGTTAATCTGCCAAATTTAGTAACGATGATCTAACTAGTCTAAATTTAGAAATGATCCCGTTGGCATAGGTCAAATTGGCCAAAATATTGTTACACTAAATTTTTTTAAAAATTATTATTCGCATGCTCTTCTTCATATTGAAGCATTAAAAAATGCCCCATAAATATATTAGTTATATCCAACTTTTATCTGAACAAGCAGATAAATGTAATAAATATTGTATATATACATCTGGCAAAGAGAGGTTATAATGTAACTTTATTAGATAAGTTTTCTAATAAAAGCAAGAGAATTTGTATACACTAAAAAAATTTAAAATCATGCATGGAATTGTTAACAGTGCAGTGTTGGATGAATAAATCATGTGATTTAAAAATATTTAGTATTTTTATGTAATATTTTATATTTTCATATATCTAAAATTTTAAAAAATGGAATTTCCAGATTATCATCCATCTCAAATTCATCATCATTATCAATTGTAGAAAGTAAATCTGCCTCCTCCTTTTGAAACAACAAATTTCACCATTCACTAATCAGTCTACATAATTAATATATTTGTGAGGCATTCTTTAATGCTTTTAATATGAAGAAGAGCAAACAACATAAGAAATGCTTAATAATAATAAAAAGGAAGGAATAATTTTTTAAAAAATTTAATGTAACAATATTTTGGCCACTAATTTTTTTTATTTTTGTTAATCTATAATTTTTTAATCACATGATTTATTTGGCCAAAATGTCCAAAGAATTTCTTGGCCATAGCCAAAAATGACCAAATGCCGACACTGTAGTAAAGTACATGTTTTAAAAAAGAATAGAACTCTACAACAAATATTTTTTTTGAGAAAATCTCTCTATTACATTAAAATTAAAGACCTATTCTATTAACTAATAGAGCTATTTTTTTAAAAGGTAGGACAAAAATGACTTTTATACTTTTGAAATTTGCACAAAATTTAGGAGGCCTTTAGACCAAGCCACTATAAAACTTATTATCACCAGAATAATTAACAATGATCAGCAAATCCCACTACTTGAGTCACATATCACTAATTAATAAGTGAAAGTTGAGACAAAGAAGAATATAAAGTAGCAATAGTAAGCTCTTTTTGTGACATTGTTGTTATTATTTACTAGTTTAGTTGTTGTAAGATTAATGTGTGTTTTGTGAAGGTTTAAAGTTAAAAATTTCTCATGTACCATTGTTATTATTACAGTGAACCCTCCCTCTATAAATGCACACCCTACATAAATGCATGCTATGTCTCATTTCCAACCTTGGGTCTTAAGAGATAAATGCATCCTCCATAAATACACTGCATGGTCTTCCTCCATCCCATTTATATAAAACCAACATCTCTAAATGCACATCTGTGACTTTCACGTGACTAATTTGCTAAATAAATTTGTGTTATGTTCAAACATATATCTATTTATCATCTTTTTTACAAATGCACATAATATTGATAATGGAGAATAAAGGATTAAATAAACTATTTTTACTTATAAAGAATTAAAATAAATGGTTGCTAATTCTTTCTTAACAAAGAGTTATATGATAATGACAAAATGCAAATGGGGAAATTTATAGGTGAAATAAAAAAAAATAAAGATTAAACAAAGGATAAAGATCAAGAAATTTTTTTAATGTTGGTGTGTAGTAACAGTAATGGGAAATAAAATAAAGAATTAATTTAATTATTTGTTCTTTACAAAAAGATTAAGTATTCTTTCTTTTTTAATTGATGAAAAAAAGAGTTATTAGAAAAGAACACACACAGATGGTGGATCTTTTATAGGTGGATCAATTTTTTAGTCAGCAATAATATTTATATAGTATGGTTCAAGTCATCTATAAATGTCACAGACAGCATAGTGGAAATTTGAAATGTTACACTAATTTTTTATATTGTGCAATGTAGCTTTACAATACGCAGCAAACATTCTGGCAATAAAGGGTAAGTGATAAACTGGATTTGAATTGGACCTGAACTTGATCTCCAGTTTAGAGAGGTAGCAACTATATACTGGTGAAGTTTCAGGAGCAATGGGTTCTATATAACATTTCGTGTAACAACAAACTTCCACTATGCTTGTGAATTACACATGCAAATTTCAATTTCTTAACATTAAATTTTTTTTCAAAAAATAATTGAATTTCCTTTACTTTTAATTAATAAATGATATAGAAAATCAGGAAACAAGAAATTTTACATGCATATTCTACAGAACCTAGGCTACAAGCTGATATTTTTTTGTATACTTATTATGTGTGTTTTCGTGTAATTGATACACTTGGGTTCTCCGAAATTTTGCTGTAGTGTACCATTTTTGATCTAATAAAATCTATTTGAATCTACTAAAACAAATAAACAAAGGATAAATTTGTTATTTATCAAAAGTATATAAACATGATTGATTTTGGACGGATATTGATGTATCAAAAAAATTTGCAACATTAAAAATCATTAAACTTTATACATTTAACAATTTTGTTTTGAATAAATTCTTTAAAAACAATGCTGTTTAAATTGGCTACTACTTGTGTGATCGATTCAATAAAGGAACAAAATCAATTATTTCGCAATGAAAACTATTTGTTTGTTTATTTATTGTTGTTTTTTTTGATTTTAGTATTAATGTGTGGTTTCTATTCATAATACAATCAGAACATGTTAAACTGAAGTCAATATTTTCAAAAAAAAAAAAAAAAACTTTGATCTAAAAAACCTTAATAAAATCGGCTTATTGAGGTAATTTGATAGGTAGATAATAAAACAACATCAGTTTATCGTGTATATTTGGTTTATCAAAGCTTTGTCTTAACGAGTTCTAACTGTACATTTATTTGTTTTATTTGTATTCATTTTATTTGTTTTATTTGTATTTGTTTTATTTGTCTTATTCAATTAAACCTTATTTGAATAGAAAACCCTAACTGCACTCAAGGTTATGATACTATTTAGCACAAAAAGCTTTAGAAATATTTAACCAATAACTTAATTACAATATAAAAAAAGAGTTATCGGTTTATTAAACTAAGCCAATAATTAACTAAAAAATAGGATTAATTATAAAAGAATATCTGATAAATATCAGCACTTTCAACATTTACTAGTAGGCTTTTAGACTATATGATAAAAATATTAAGAATATTATTAACTTATCAGTGTGCCAATACCTTGATTATTTTTTTAAAGAATAATCAGATTCTGATATTTGCTGATACCCCATTACCCAAGTTGGCATCATTTGACCAGTAAAAACAGAACCAATAGATTATATATAAGCAAAGAAAGATGGGATCCTAAATTAGCACAAAAGAATTTTAAATCATGAACAAACATAACAGTTTGATAACTTGATTGACATAGTGGTGCAGCCTTGCAAATTTTTTTTTTATTGTATAATTAATTATACATATTTAACAAAACAAAAAACATGACTTAGCTATTTAATCATTTCCTTGTATGTGAATGCCTCCATCCATCAAATATTCATGATGGTCATGATTATTATTCAATACATTTGATATCATCATTGACATAACAAACAATTACATCACTCAGATAGTAATAATACCAAGGCCATGCATGAATGAGACTTTTAATAATGTATGTCTACCCAGATCTCTGAGATTTACAATAATAAATTATTTTTCTTTATGAATAATAAATCTGATGTTGATCACAGGTGTCAGATTTAATTAAAATTTCCTATTACAACATGTGGTTGGGTGCTCTTAACACTCCTCATAACTGTGGATTTTTCCACAGGTGAGGGATCCCCTACACATTGGAAGGCTTTGGACAAAACTTTCCTTTATCTCTCCTCTCAGATCAGGCTTGGCTGTTACCATATTGGCATTGATCACTGATTAATATCAGCACTTGTGTGATGATTGATTTATGTTATTGCCATGCTAACATAAAAGTTGGCACCTGCAACTGGTTGAAAATTCTGCAACTCAGGAGGTTGTTGTTTTGGTTTTTCCCTGAATTCAGAGTTTTGAGTCCTGGGTTGCTGTAATTTTTATGAAATGAAAAGTATTAATATTTAACAAATAATTATTTAAATGTTTATTTTGTTGGAAAAAATATACATTGATAGTGTACATTTTCTGTGCTTAACATCCACGTGACCCAAAGTCTGGACAAAAGATCCCTTTCTATGAGTTTGGCTGGTATATCCCAAAGGTGTCCCCTGTCTTGTCAGTGGCATGCCTACTCACCAACAACCCTACCCCCATTTACTAAAATAACAAATTCAGTTGATCAGATAAAAATTAAAGAGAAGCAGAGAATTTGGGAATGATTAATTTATACAAAACATACCAAACAAAATCTGAACCATTTTTATGGCTTTTTCTTGTTGGTCATATTGCTGACAAAGATGTATATAATCATGCAATAATTTTAACCTATATAACAGGGGAACTGATTGGGCAAAACCCCATCCAGTCCCCTACCCAAAATTATAAATTGGTTAGTTAATATCAGAGAAACAGAGCATTTATGAAA